AATGAAATACGAAAGATACTGTCAACAAGATGTCAGCAAAAGAAAGATTATTGAACTATCCGCGCACAAATGAATTTATTCGGAATATATTCAAGCCAATAAACTTTCTAAATCGAAAGGTGACCCCCACTGCAAGTAAAGTAACATGGATGCTACAGTACTTTGTTAGGCACCAAACATGCCAACTAACATCATTCGTGCTAACGAAAGTATCTGTTATTTATGTAAGCAGACTGTCAATCACACATGAGTGACTCATCCAGCCACCAACCATGTCAAGTTGGAACCCCTTGACCTAGACCGCAGGGCAAAGTAACCAATCAAACGCAGAACGCATGGCTATTTAAGAAGCCACAATTTGCTTGCATAATTCAGTGCCTGAAGGTGTTTCACCGGTGGTGAGTTGATGTACATATATATAGTGTTTAACGTGTCCGAAATCGCTTCCGCCGAATCCAGTCACCTGCAAATTGCCCTTACTTTTAGTTTTAGACTTCTGCGTCATTGCAATGAACACATATTTCTCCAGCACTCTGCTTATCTTCGCAACGGTCTTCATTGGTATGCTATTTTGGCAATATGTCTGTTAGATATTACATCTGCTGTTACGATGAATCTTAAACATTTTTCAAATGGTCTTGTAGCCTGCAGTGCAACCGAAAATACTACCAGCACAGATAAGGTCGACATCAACGCCACAAGTCCAGCTGTAACGGATGCCAACACCACAGATGCAAACACTACTACCACAGCCAACGCCACAGATGTAACCACTACTACCGCAACTAACGACACAGATGCAAACACTACTACCGCAGTCAACGCTACAGATGTAACCACTACTACCGCAGCCAACGCCACAGATGCAACCCCTACTACCGCAATCAACGCTACAGATGCAACCCCTACTACCGCAGCCAACGCCACAGATGCAACCACTACTACCGAAAAAGATGCAAGCAAGGATGAATCTGGGAACTCTGGTGCTTCGGCTTCACTGGTGGCCCAGTGTTGCTTTATTTCCATTCCTCTGGCCCTACTCGCCAACTTCTAAGGATTGACAAGACAATATTCCATGTTCTGGAATATAAAATACTTAATAAATGTTTTTTTCGAAATACATGCTGGTGATTCTGACCTGATTAACCGAGAGTTGGCGTCCGTAAGAGTCTCGGTAATGATAAAGTGGCTAGAACGACAGCTGTGAATTGACGAATCTCTACACTGAGAGTCTATACGTAGAAGTTGGGCAAACTTCCTACTGTAACTTAAACTAAGGATGCGTTCTTTGCTACTGTTATAAACTGGGATTTTTATTCTAATTGAAATTGCAAAGTGCGTAGAATAGTTAACGAGGTAACCGTGTAAGGTTGTTGCTATTTCGTCAATGAGAATGTGGCATAAATTTAAAGTCAGAATGCTGTTGTACGAACAAAGCCTGCGTTAATAGGTGCTACCACATAAAATGAAATACGCTAAGTCTACGTCATCTTATGGAATAGATGTATATTTAATTATGACCCCCTATCTGCTGCAACCAAAACCAACCCAATATTGTCTTGAAATTCAGTTGTGTACCCATAAGTTCCGTTTGAAGATTGTGAAGGTAAAAGGGGTTGGCCACACCCGCTGGAAAAATATCGTACAAAGCCTATTTTACCAAATGACTCAAATTCAGCAAATAGTTGCTTGTGGGGACCGATCGATGGGTAACACATTAAGTGTAAGCTAAACTTTTAAACAGAGGATGAGCAGCTTACCTCATAACGGTGGGATATGCGGATTACGAAACCTTGTGTTGTCCGTGCTAGTAACACCACGCTCAACGTCTACCTAAACAACCGAAATAATGTCATGCGCAGACGCCACTGGATCATAGCTGGAATATAATTATGGAGGACTAGGTAAATGTGTTTTTGTTTCGGATAAGCATCCACCTGTCTGTCTGCTTTAAGGGAGTTTAACCTGCAATTCGGCCAGTGATCAACTGCAAAATGGGTGCTACCGCATTCTTC